TTTTTTTTTTTAACTTCCTAATATTATGCCAACCAGTGAATCTATATAAATATAATACTAGTATAAAGGTATAACCGTTAACAACGATACCGTTTTTGAGCTGGACGTACAACACCACAAATATACGAGGGACGACGCCACGACGGGCGAACATTATTGTAATAATAAATATGACTATGACGTGTTTCGACAATAGGGCTRGTATTTATTTATKTTTTGTTCGTTCTTACCTGTGTATAGCACCAGTTCTCCGCCACGGGTGTGTTCGCCTCGGATGAAGGAGGCGGGCTGGGTACCCGTGATACGGACATGGTACTGCTGCTCGGTGCTCCGGCCACGACGGCGGCCGCCGCGGCCGCGGCAGCTGATGCAGCCGCGTTCACCGATCCCGACGAACCCGCTGCCACCGACACTCTGGCTGTCTGCTGCGGCGAGCACTCACTCACCACTGGCAGCCTAAAACAGAAAAAGACAAATCCGTGTTAAATTTTTATAGCATTCACTTCATCAGCTATTAGGTAAACCACTTATATAATTGTTATCAATAGTTTTGAAAAAGGGATCAATTCAATGGCCGATAATACACATGTAAAATTATGAACAGCGACGATATGTTGCAAAGCATTCGATGACTACATTTTGAAACGATTTTCAATTTTTATTTAGTTTGTCGATTACACAATTTTTAATGTGTAATAAGTGAAATAATGTTTTACTAGCAATGGTGACGTTGTCCCGATAACATTATATATCTGACATTCTGCCTCGATATCCGTCACTAACAATAGGTACCTATAGGTTATTTTTATGTTATGATTCATGATTAAACATTAAACTTAAATGAGAATTAGACATTAGTATAATATACAATCATTTAAAATGCCAATTTATTCAAATTGAATAAAGGCGTACTCGGTATATATAAACGATTTTTATTTCGAGTGGGTTTTAAAAGTATGGTTATTAAGTAAAAAAAAAAAAAAACAGTAGTGTTAAGTAGTGTTCGCAGTAAATATGTTGTTTTTTATATTTAACCTTGTACCTTTACAATGCGTATAGTGCTGTATGGGCTATTCGTTGTGATAAACTATATTACAACATTAATAACTTAAGTGAGATTTAATGAATAATGGGCTATACAAAGACGAGGTTTGTTTTCCTAAATTTATATTCTCACACGTGTACGATAACAAAACGAAAAAAAATCACAAAAATGTCTTGCCTCAGCTCGTTCAATTATACACAACGTTTTATTGTATACAACATTTAATATATATTACCTACTATGTATTGCATTCATTGCAAAAGTACGTATGATATTCAAGTATTTAAAAACTTGGTATAGCATAATATAATAAATCTATTATTACCTACTAATAGCAAATGTATATCTTATAAGATAGTAATGATAATGTATTTTACAAATAATTAAATAATACACCAACAATAGARAATTATTTAAATTCCAATAGTTATATATTGTACCTATTAAATACGTCACAAACAACAACTYTACTAATCTTTGGCTAATCTTTAATACTTATATAGGAACCTAGTAATACTATTGAWTTTTTCTGATTGTTGTACATTTGAACGTRCCTAATTGTGTAGTCGTCTTATAATTTATCGGTTATTATATATTAAATATTTTGGTAAGTATTCGAAAATCTTTGGACGGAAACTCAATACATTGAAAACGCACACTCTTCTTTAGTGAACAATGAAACAAATGTGACRTGTCGCAAGTTTTAAATACATATACAAACGTTAGAAAAAGTGTGATGTTCATGTACAATATGAAATTTGGTTCAGTTGTTTTATGATCCGAATAAATGTGTATCATTATTTTTTCCCGCAAAAGCTCAATCAGATGTGAGCTCGAAATAGAAACGGGTAACGAAAAATAAGTACGTTATTCCGTTGTACTGC